ATTTTAGAAATAAAAAAGTCTTGCCAAAATGGATTAAATGTAATGAAAAGATTATCAAATAAAAAATGGAGATCCGACGAAACCACGTTATTAAATATTTATAAGTCACTTGTTAGATCAAAAATAGATTATGGGGCTATTGTGTATGCCTCCGCTAAAAAACATGTTAGCAAGCAACTTGAAGTCATTCAGAACATAGTACTTCGCATTGCCATAGGTGCATTTAGAACCACACCTGTTAAGAATCTCCATGTGCCTCACAGGAGAGCCACCTCTTAATCTACGAAGAAATTATTTATGCCTTTCGTATGCAGCATCAGCAGCAACAAACTCCACCCAGTATTTCAAACTGCATTTACGGACCGTTACCTAGAAGCTTATAACAAAAGTAGGTTCGATCCACCATTCTACGAAACAGTTCGAAGAAATTTAAAAGATCTACAACTCCAAATTTCTGACCTCTTTCCTTCAAATTTAAAAACTCCACCTCCCTGGTTAATCATGATTCCCGAAATCAATACGACGCTACTTCAAAATAACAAATCAGATACATCACCCACTGTAATCCGACAGTCATGTTTAAAGGAACTCGAGACTTACGGGAAAAGCTTTTGCATTTATACAGATGCCTCCAAATCTGCAAATGACGTAGAAGCAGCATTTGTCATTCCATATTCCTCTTCCCAATTTAAATTAATGCCAGCCACTTCTATATACACAGCAGAATTATATGCAATATTACAAGCCCTCACTCATATGAAAAGTACAAACCATTCTTCTTCCGTTATTATCACAGATTCTCTAAACTCCTTAACAACAATCGGTCAACTATATACTAAGAACCCTATAGCCTTACTTGTCAAGAAAGAACTTGCTGCCTTACAAGAATCTGGTTCAGAAGTCAAATTTATGTGGGTTTAGAAGCTACCAAAAATGATCAAGCTATAATAGTGTCAAAGACTATCTGCAGTGATATAAAACAGTTCGTTAAAGAAAAAGTGATTAGTGCGTGGCAAAATAAGTGGAACTTATCGGAATCTAAATTAAATCGACAGTGAAGCCGTGGCGCCTAGTAAACTTAAAAAGAGCTGACCAAGTCAAAATTTCTCGACTTCGATTAGGTCATACCAATATTACTCATAAGCACCTAATAAGTAAAGAAGACATTCCAGTGTGTGATTACTGTCAAGTCAATATTACTGTTAAACATCTAACAGAATGTGGAAAATATACAGTTAACAGACAAAATAACAATATTTCCAGTGACTTAAAAACAGTATTAGGTGAACATTTAAATACTAAAAACTTAATTAGATTTCTAAAAGAAACATCTTTATATAATTTAATATAATGTAGTAACTAATGTAAACTAATGTCGCTAATGACCCAGGTGGTTGAAGCGACTATTATTAGTAAATAAAAAAAATGACAATATTCAATATATCTACTAATTACTAATATTTTTTAGAATAATAACTTTCTGAAAAGAATCGTTTTACACACTACCTTTCACCTCTGATTATCCAGGAGCTCCTTCGACGATTGACCACCAGTGGACCACAACAAAAAAAGAAAAAGCCAACACACCAAACAAAACAAATCACGTCCTGAAGAGGCAGAAGGCCTATAACAGGACATCAAACACAAACCCAAGAAAAATATACCAAGAGAAAGAAAACAAGAGACAATGAGACACACAACGTTGCGCCAGTTTCAGCTTACAAGCGAAGCAGCAACATCTCCAAAAGATTTTATTTATTTATTTAGCGTATGGCAATTTGATACACAACATTATCACATATATGTTACAATCTAACATCTAATGTATTAATATATTCAATCGACGCTGGTGTTGCAGAGGCGAAGTCTAGAGGATCTCCATAATACTTCCTCCGAGGGCATTCGGCAATCATATGCTGGATGGTCTGTTTCTCGGCGCCGCAGTCGCACTCAGCAGAGGTTCTCATCCTCCATTTATAAAGGGTATCTGCGCAGACTCCGTGACCCGTTCTTATCCTGTTAAGAGTTGACCATGATTTTCGGGGGAGGTCAAAACCTGGTGGAGTTTCTGTGATGCATGGTGTGTTTCTCATTATTAGGTTCGGTCTGTCGCTCTGCATGTTCTTCCACTGGGAGTTCATTTGGAAATTGTTGGAACTCAAGTTTATTGCATCTCTAGTCGGAGGTTTTCTGGAGCGCAATCGATGTGAATTAGCGTCGGCGACATATGTGTGTATAGGTAATTGCGGGTTGTTAAGCAGCTTTTGGAATTCTCTAAGCAGAGCATGCTGACGACGAAGATTAGGTGGAGGTATATGGCTCAGTAGTGGAAGCCACTCCACAGGTGTAGACTTGATCGTTCCAGATATGAGACGCATGGCGACATTCAGCTGGGTATCTATAATTTTTGTGTGGACGCTATTCAGCCAAACAGGAGAGCAGTATTCAGCTGCGGAGTATACGAGTCCAAGGGCTGAACACCGGAGTGTACCTGCTGATGAGCCCCATGTAGTCCCGCAAAGCTTCTGTATGATGTTGTTACGGGTTCTCAGCTTTGCTGCGGTGTTCTCAAGATGTTTCTTAAAGGAGAGTGTTCTGTCCAGGGTGACGCCGAGGTACTTGGGGTTATGGTTGTGCGTGAGCAGTTGGTTATCAATGTATACTTTAAGTTTTGTGTGGGCCATTTTGTTGTTCAGGTGAAAACAGCTAACTTCGGTTTTTTTGGGGTTAGGTTTAAGTCTCCATTGTTTAAAGTACTTAACCAGGCGTTCCAGATCTTCCGTTAGGATTGCCTCGGAGTTTTGTAATAAGGAGCTTTGAGTTGCAAGTGCCCAGTCGTCTGCATATCCAAATTTTTTAGATCTGGTAGGGGGCATATCAGCTATATACATATTAAATAGCAGAGGTGCAAGTACGGAGCCCTGGGGGAGGCCAATATTAAGCGTTCTCTGTTTGCTCACTGTAGTTCCCATGGTTACACGAATGTTTCTACTGCTCAGCATAGTATTTATGAGTCGGGCGGTTGTTTTGCAGGGGATTATTTTAAGGAGCTTATAGATGAGGCCATCTTTCCAAACCGTATCATAGGCAGCTGATAAATCGATAAATGCCACAGACGTCTTCAGTTTTCTTTGGTAACCTGCTTCTATGTAGGTAGTTATAGAGAGCACTTGGTCAGTGGTGCTTCGTTGAGGCCTGAATCCTGCTTGTTCAATTGGTATTTTTTGGAGTAGCTTTGGGCCGATTCTGTTCAGGACCAGTCTTTCGAGGAGCTTGTAAGCTGAACTGAGTAAAGCGATGGGGCGGTAAACTCGCTGGGTTGTCTGTTGGTTTTCCAGGTTTCAGGATGGCTATGATTTTTGTTTGTTTAAAGAGGTTTGGTAGGTTACCTGTTTTGAGTATATCTGTATAGAATTTAGACAACCAGGTTTTTGCAGATTTCCCACAATGGATCAGGAATTTGGGAGGTATACCGTCTGTACCAGGAGCTTTGTTGGGTTTAATGTCTTTGATGGCGTTTGAGACTTCTTCTGGAGTGAACGGTGCGGAGTACTCTGTATCTGATGGACAGGCAGCTTTTAGATGTTTAAGCTCCCTTTTTATAGTAGTGCTCTTTATATATATACTTTTTATAGTACTTTTTATCACATGCTCCTCTGGAGGTGGCAACTATATGTGATGCAATTTTATTAGGGTTGAAGTCGTGGATTTGTCGTGTTGCCAGTTTGTCACTTCCGAGTTTTCTTAGGAGCGACCACGCTTTACGGCTAGACTTTTTGAAATCTAACGATTCGACTTCATTTGTCCATTTCTTTCTTCTTGCTACATCAAGGCTCAGGAGAAGTTCGTCCGCAAGGTCACTTTCACCGGTTTCAAGATATTCTTCGTAGAGGTTTTGGCTTTCCTCACTCCATCCTGGTATGTATTGCTTACGATGGCCCCTAGGAATGTGTTTCTTTGCTGTAGCAATTATTGCCCCTCTAAACCTTTTATAATTTTTGTATGTTGGTGGAATCCATCGTAAGATTTTATCGAGTTCATTGGTAAAGGCGGGCCAGTTACCTTTGTTAAAGTTCCAGCGTGGTCGTGGAATGGTTGTAACTAGTGGGATTTGGATACCAATCTCAATAATGATCGGCCTGTGCTGGCTATGCGGGAAGTCATGAAGTACTCTTCTCTTGGTTGGTAAGGGGTAGCTTTTCTGGTTTTTGCTCACAAAACATAAATCTGGATTGTACTCTTGTTTCCATGCCGCCGATTTAAAAGTGCCCTGGTCTTTGGCATCGAAGACGTGATGCAGGTGGTTACTCTCTGCCCAGTCTAACAGTGTCTCCCCGTTTTCATCGTTGTTTCTGTATTTCCATTCTTGATGATGGCTGTTAAAATCACCTAAATAGATGGCTGGATGGGGCCTTATGTCTATGACGTGGCTTGGCCATGTAATACTTGGGGGTTTATAAACATTTGTCACTTCGGTTTCACCTATTTTGGTAACGGTCAAATGTATATTATCTTGCGTGGTGGAAGCTACGAAGTGAGCGTTTTCTACGGAGTTTTTTACGTAGTTGGTGGTACCATAAGCATGGTGATAGGTTGCTCCCAGAAGATCATAGCCTGGAATTTTGCCTCTACTTGCGAGTTGTTGTTCGTTCGCAGCATGGGTTTCCTGTATAACTACCAAGTCGATGTCGTTAGAAAGTAGTATGTTTGACAGCAGTTCGCTTTTGGATCGGCTAATGCCTTCAATATTTATCTGACAAATCCGGACAATGGGTCCAAGAGTTCTAGTCATTTGGTTCTCATAAGAACCGTTTCCTGGTTGGGCGTTCATGTTAGCAGTTGTGTATTGGCCAGGAGATCGTTGGATAGTTTGGCCGCCTGTTCCAAAAGATGACAACCCCTAATGGTGGCGAAACGTCGAGAACTAATCTCAGAAGACAACATTCTAACAGCAACAGCCCAAACAAATAGTTTAACAATATACAAATATTGAAAATTACCTTTTCCGCCTGCCACCAACAACCCAACAGGTCCATTAAAATTGGCATTCCATCCTTGAATTGGTTCTGTTATTGTTGAGACCACTAAAAATAATGATTGTGTAAATATCATTTAATTATTAACAAATAAAAAAAGTATTTGTAAATATTTTAGAAATATAAAGCTTAAAGGTGGTTAGATACGGCTGATATTACGGTAGTATTGTTGTCTGTTTTTCCGTTCACGGAACTATTTTGTCAGAATGTGCTAAATTTGTTAGACGATCTGCCCAATAAAAGCAATAAAATTCTGTGCAATGAATTGAACATTAATTATGCTCTTGCTTGTGCTACCCAATTATCCTTGGTTAATATTTTGGAATTGTATGGTTTCACAAGGCACGTTAATTCTCCTACAAGAATTACATTACAAATTACAAATATTAATAAATTATCAGGCAAACAACTGAATTTGTCCCAATATTTAGTTGATAGAGGTCGTATGTTTTGATTATTACATATATACATATAATAAGTAACAAAATCTTACCCACAGATGGTCTAGCTATAAGAACTGGTATCTTTCCAAAACACAAATCGTTTACCACGTGTTCAGCCAACGATTTAGCAAACGTATAAGTATTTGGAAGGGGGCGAATATATTTTTCACTTAAAGCACACAACAGTGCCTCATCACATTCTTCTGCCAATGTTATAGTTGATCTCCAGTCGCCATGTGGTGGATAAAGTTTTTCTTCTACTACAACTTTGTCGGTATTGCAGAATGTCGTAGAAACGTGCAAAAAGAAGTCGAGATTTTGAGTATCTAAAGCTAACTTAGCAACTTCTCTGGTGCCCCGTATATTTATAAGAATTGCGTCCTTGAGGAAATCATCGAAACGTACTGAAGCAGCAGTGTGGTAGATTATGTTGACGTTTTCTATTAACATTTTTCGGTCATCCGGACATAACCCTAAAAACATTAATATATTTGTGAAATTTTGTAAGACACTGAATTATAGAGTGCAAAATAAATATTATCAGAGTAGATGGTGTTTTTCAAAGCTATTGTTATAGTAAAAAAAAACGGGTATGGCAGTCCAGTGGGACTGCCGGTAGAAGTTATACTTCTATACACGCGTTCGCCGTTACAAATTTATATAGGACTCAATATGCACAATCATTACATATGTAATGCTATAGGTAAGAAAGGGCAGACAGAGAAAAATATTTAGTTATATAGGTATATGGTGCATAGTTTGCTGTATATAAACATTTGACCTGTAATATAAGTATAGTAAATAAAGGATTGAATCAATATTTTAATGAAAATAAAATAATTTTAATGAAAATTTGTTTACATATACTCTGCAGTAAAGTTTTTTGGTTAATAATATAAAAATACAATATAATACACTGCAACATAATTCGATATAATAATACAATACAAATATATATATATATATATATATATATATATATATATATATATTATATATATATATATATATATATATATATATATAACAAACGAGTCATCTACAGCTGGCGCCGCTTCTCGCATCCAGCGTTTTCTTTCGAAGCAATCGTCCGTTGTTAGATCTCTGGCGGTCATTCCATCGTCGACATCGTCTCTCCAGGTTCGTCTTGGTCTACCTCGTTTTCTTCTAGTTGGCGAAGTCCATTCTTCTATTTTCTTTGGCCATCTATTTTCAGGCATTCTCTGAAGGTGTCCATACCAGTTAGGTCTTTTGGCTTCGATTTTGTCTATTATGTCTAGATCGATTTCCATTTCTCTCCGAATATCTTCGTTTCTCACCCTATCAAGTCTCGTGAGCTGGCAACATCGTCTCCAGTAGTTCATTTCCATGGCCTTAGTTTTTTATTTGTTTCTTTGGTTTATTTCCCAGAGTTCGCCACCGTACCGTCCAATACTTTCTATTATTGTTTTATAAATTCTTGTTTTATTTTCTTTTGTTAGTTTTTTGTTCCATAATAGTCCATGTAGCTGTGTGGTGACTGATCTTGCTTGGCCAATCCTGGAATATATTTCTTCGCTACTACCTGCTTTTAATGTTATTTGGACTCCAAAGTATTTAAAATTGCCTGTTGGTTTTATAGTTCTCATTTCGATTTGTAGGCTTTCTGGTTTCTCTCCTACAACTAAGTACTCAGTTTTTTGTATATTAATTGTGAGGGCCCATTTGGTGTACTCATCTTCCAGTTTTCTAAGCATGTATCCTACATTACTCTCGTCTTTAGCTAGAATGGCTTGGTCGTCAGCGAAGTGTATCGTGTACAATCTATCATCTCCGATTGGGATGCCCATATTACAGCACTTTCTTCTCCACAGTGAGAGTGCCTCATTTAGATATATTTTGAAGAGTGTAGGTGCTATGCAGCAGCCTTGCTTTAGGCCCTTACTAATAGGAATTTTTATAGTTAATCTATTTTCAGTTTTAATACTTGCCGTCATATTTTTGTAGAGCTGTTGTATTGCTTGTATATTTTTTTGCTTATTCCTTGTTTTTCCATTGCTTTCCAAAGCATTGAGAGTGGTACACTATCGTATACCTTTGTCAGATCTATAAAGACTATATGAGTTGAAAGGTTGTGGGCGAATCTTTTCGATAACTTGCTTTAGAGAGAATATACTGTCCATACAAGATCTGCCTGCACGAAAGCCATTCTGTTCTTCTACATCTGTCATGTCTTTTTCAATTTTATTTTTTATAATTTTTCCATACAGTCTTGAGAATGAATTTATGACACTTAGCCCCCTGTAGTTTGAACAATTCTTTCTATCTCCTTTTTTGTAGATGTTGTTAATATGTGCTTTTGTCCACTCCAGTGGTAAGTCGTGTCCATTATAGAATAAGGTGAAGACATACGCCAGTAATTCCCGTAATACTTGTGGGCTATGTTTTAATAATTAATTTATTATACCTTGTGGTGTGCATGACTTCCGATTTTTTAGAATTCGTATTGCATTCTCGACTTCCTGTACTGTTATTTCATCGTTTTCACTGAATTCCAGTTCATATGTTGTTGTACTGATGTTCGTGAATTGAGGTCTTGTTTCAGTCAAAAGTTCTGAGTAGTGTTCGATCCAAGATCTTACTTCTATTATCTTCTATATATAAATCCGTTCTACTCGTTTCTTTTCTGTTTGTTCTCAGATTTTTTACCGTTTTCCATGGTTCTCTTGATCTTGTTGACCCTATATATTTGTTGGGTTCTTCGCATTTACTTTCCCAGGAAATATTTTTTGCTTTATTTACTAAATTTTTTACTTCTCTGAGAATAAAGATAAAAGATAATAAACAAACACATTAATTCTACAAAATGCAATAAATATTTTGTACATAAATATTTTAAAAATTAATACCTTTAGATAATTGTTGGATTCGACCGTTACTTGATGGAAATTCATTTTATGTAACAATAAAACACTGAAAACTTTGTTTGGACGATTGTGGAAGTTTGAAAACAACGTTTTCAGTGTTTTATTGTTACATAATACCTTTAGACTTATAAAACCTCATATAAACTCTTCATATTTTCAAAAAATACAATGAAAACTGCTTCAGTATAGAGGATGTTTTATTTAAAAAAGGAACTTTGGTTCATGCTGTTGGTCTTACTGATATTGTCCTACATTATCGAAAATAATACTGAGGTTATTGTGAAAGAATAGTTATTTTGAACAATTCTAGTATCATAGTTTTGAAATTCTAGTATAAACTTACCTAAATCTATTTCTGTAACATCTCCTCTTATCGGTATCATCTTTTTAAAACGCATCTGGATTTGTTTTCTTAAGCAATTGAAAAAGCTAAAAAAAAAATAAAATTCTAATTTTTCTTAATTCAAAGGTTTCGTACAAAACATATTAAATTTTTTTTTAAAAAACGTATGTAAATAACCGCAAGTTGCTGGCAGTAATGGTCGTCCAACAATGGATGCAACTGATGAAGACATTTTAGAAAACGTTGCAGAAGTCCCTTGAACAAGTACAAGAGTAATAGCTGCTCAACTAAATGTTCCTCACGTAAGGCTTTGAAGGCGTTTGAAAGATCAGCCGCTTAAACTTTATCACTTAACAACGGTTCAAGAGTTATTGTTAAAAAATATTCTAAAAGGATTGGATTTTGCTATTGGTTGTTAATGGAAACATAATGCGCCATAAGGAATTTGAGCAGCTCCAGGTAACATTAGAAGGCAAAATCGAGGGTAAAAGGGATATAGGAAGAAAGAAGAAATCCTGGCTCTGAAACATCAGAGATTGGAGTCACACAACAGGAAATGATTTAATCCATCAAGCCCAAAACAGAGAGAAATTTGCCATATTGATCGCCAACCTCAATAGAGAAGGCACTTAGGAGGAGGTTAATGGAAAAAATTCAAAATGTTAATTTTACTAAAAATATTTTTGTTTACCGACGAGGCTACCTTCAATAGAACTGGAATAACAAACCATCATAACGAACACATTTGGGCCGACGAAAATCCTCACGCCAAAAAACGACTCATCACCAAAGGACTTTCAAAGTTAATGTTTGGGCAGGAATTGTGGATAACAATCTAATAGGCCCAGTATTTCTTCACAACAATTTAAATGGTGATAATTATTTGCAGTTCTTGGCAAACCATTTACAAGAGTATTTGGAAGAAATTACAGTAATGAAGTCCGGTAATACCTTTGTAGGCAGTATACCGTTCGGTGGATTGGAAGGGGTCGTGACGCACCTATTTCTTGGCCACCCAGAAGTCCAGGTCTTAACCCCATGGACTTTTGCTTTTGGGGGTTTATAAAAGAGAAAGTGTATTCTGTAATAAAAGTGAACGAACAACCATTGACGGTTAAAATAATTGAAGCTGCAAATCAATTTTATCAGAAAAATATGATATTTCGGTTTTCCTTATTAAAACGATACCTAATATGTATTGCAGAAAATGGGGGTCATTTTGAACATTTATTGTAATATCATATATATAGAGGCTATAAATTTTTTTGTACTTGTTAACTCATTTAAAGCCATTTATTTAGTTGCACGTAAATTAAAATTTTTTAAACGTTAATGAAAAGGGCCGGAACTCAATAAAAACTGTTTTTTGAAACAAGTGATGAGAGGTAAAAAAGTTTTAAAAATAATGTGGTAAACTAATGATGCCACAAAATTCATTTGATTTGACTGCACTCAAAAGTTTGGAGGATTTAGGGCTGCACAGCCCCCTTAAAATTTTTCTATGCGCTTAGATTTTGTTGTTTCTTTTGTATGAAAAATGCTTTCAGAACAAGAAAGTAACGTGTTCATTTTTATTACAAAATGTCAAGTAGTTTAGAAAAGTAGGTTTATTTCAAAGGGCTGTACCTTTTTTTGTGTACACTTTTGTACTAAGGTAAGTTGGATTCAATCAATTTATTTTTATCGCCCGAATGCGTGATTTAATTTATGATATACCTTTTTGAAACACCCTGTATTATGTTGATAAAGTATTGTTCTGAAGCTATTTTCTTGTGGCATTTTAAATTAATTACTATTTAACTGGGAATAAGCCACAATTAAAGAAAAAAATACGTTTATTGACGTTTCAATTTCCACTTCGGAAATCGTTCTCAAAATACAAACAGTAAATTAAACAAATTTTGTTTTTTGTTACATAGTGAAAAATTCTTCTAATAATTTAATTTTATCTGACTCATTTATATTGACAATTCAGACATACATTATGCATTTTAAAGTAGACGACTTTAAAATGATATTGCCAATATTGTTGAGTTGCGCTCCTGGGACGACTTTACTTATGAGATAGTTCATTCGATTACATGAAATCAACTTTAACTTGAGAATATTCGTCAGAAAAAAATCATAGCATGTAATTCGTCTTTAAAAAGACAAACACATGACATAATGACAGTAAAATTCTCCTGTTAGTGATTCCATAGTAAATTATGAGGGAAAAAACCAGGAAAAAAAACCTCATAATACTATCCCGACATGGTAAGTATTTGTTCGTGCATTTAGTTTACCTTCAATAAACACCAAAATTCTAATTTTATATGTTTCGTTATTTAAAAAACATAAATGATGTATCCTCTATATGTTACTGACTTACTAATACTGGTATTTTCTTATTAATAACTTCGTCTTTCAATATTGGTAACCAGATCCTACTACATTCTACCGAGGAATTTGCGACACAATTGGCTTCATTTAGCATAATTAGAGCCGCTTCTTTGATTTTTCTTTTTTTACCATCCGTTTCTTTTAGGACTACATTTGAATTAATCCATTGAACCCTATGTTCTCTATTTTTAATATAAGATTGATGTTCACTTATTCTAACATTTAATGGCCTTGATGTTTCACCTAAATAAAACTGATCGCATTCACAAGGTATTTTATAAATGCAATTCTTTGTCCTTTTTTGTTCATTGTTAGGTTTGGTTTTGGACAAAATAGATCTCAACGTGTTTGTTGTTTTGAATGTTGTTGAAATGTTGAATTTATTTCCTATCCTTTTAAGTTTTTCTGATAATCCTTTTATGTACGGTATTGTTATTTTCCTCGTATTATTCCTTGTGTATGCTGTAGGATCTCGTTCTAAAATGTTCTGTTCTATTCGATCGATTGTTGAAAATTCCTTATATATAAACAATAAAGGATAATCATTTTTTAATAAAGCAGATGTTAACAAATGTTGCTTCTCCAAGAACGAATTTTCGCTAGAACAAGTAATTTTGGCTCTATCGTATAAGGATTTAATTATTCCCTTTTTTACATTAATATTGTGATTTGATTTGAAATTTAAATATCTATTGGTGTGTGTTGGTTTTCTATATACCTGAGTCTCATATCCAGTATCATTCTTAGAGATTAAAACATCCAGGAAAGGTAGCGTGTTATTAAATTCCTTTTCCATGGTAAATGTTATTGTCTCTTCTTTATCGTTTATATCATTTAGGAATGTGTCAAACAACTCTGATCCATGAGGCCATATTGAGAATACATCATCTACATACCTCCACCATACTGTGAGTTTTAAATTTTGTTTAGAAATGATATTTGTTTCAAAATCTTCCATAAATATATCGGCTAAGAATGGAGATAAACTAGAGCCCGTTACTAGAGCAAAATTTTGTTTATAGAATTCATTATTTAAATGAAAATATGTATTATCAGTACATAATGTTAATAACTCCATTATATTTAAGAAAAAACAAAAACTTAAAAGGATAGGAAATAAGTTCAACATTTCAACAACATTCAAAACAACAAACACGTTGAGATCTATTTTGTCCAAAACCAAACCTAACAATGAACAAGAAAGGACAAAGAATCGCATTTATTAAATACCTTGTGAATGCGATCAGTTTTATTTAGGTGAAACATCAAGGCCAATAAATGTTAGAATAAGTGAACATCAATCTTATATTAAAAATAGAGAATTTGATAGATCTCAAATATGTAAACACGCATGGGATAATGAACATAGGGTTCAATGGAATAATTCAAATGTAGTCCTAAAAGAAACAGATGGTAAAAAAAGAAAAATCAAAAAAGCGGCTCTAATTATGCTAAATGAGGCCAATTGTGTCGCAAATTCCTCGGTAAAATGTAGTAGGATCTGGTTACCAATATTGAAAGACGAAGTTATTAATAAGAAAATAACAGTATTAGTAAGTCAGTAACATATAGAGGATACATCATTTATGTTTTTTTCCTGGTTTTTCCCTCATAATTTACTATGGAATCACTAACAGGAGAATTTTACTGTAATCATGTCATGTGTTTGTCTTTTTAAAGACAAATTACATGCTATGATTTTTTTCTGACGGATATTCTCAAGTTAAAGTTGATTTCATGTAATCGAATGAACTATCTTATAAGTAAAGTCGTCCCAGGAGCGCAAACTCAACAATATTGACAATATCATTTTAAAGTCGTCTACTTTAAAATGCATAATGTACTTCTGAATTGTCAATATAAATGAGTCAGATAGAATTAAATTATTAAAAGAATTTTTCACTATGTAACAAAAAACAAAATTTGTTTAATTTACTGTTTGTATTTTGAGAACGATTTCCGAAGTGGAAATTGAAACGTCAATAAATGTACCTATTTTTATCTTTAATTGTGGCTTATTCCCAGTTAAATAGTAATTAGTTGATAAAGTAATTTGCTACCAGGTGTAAAAATTTCAGATAAATTGGTGCAGTTAAAAAACATTTAAAGGGAAAATGCCACACTGACTGGACTAATAGAAGAAATAAAAAAAATGCTTACCGGCAAATTTTGTATCAACTCTATGCGCTTCTCTATCGATTTTCCTTTCTTCTCTCTGATTAAAATATAAATATTTCCTACAGCCGGACATGATCTTAAAATTTTTTCTATCAACACTGTTCCCATAAATCCTGTACCCCCTGTTATAAAAATATTCTTATCCCTGAAATACTCTGCAATTAACATGATGAAAATGTGAACAACACCTCTACGTTGCACTAGCCTTTGTTGATATTTATTGAAAAAGTGCAGCAATATTTACAATGGATGTGGATAATATATTCCAAGACATTAAAACAAACCATTAACCTCAGTGACTTTTTATTATGCTGGGTGTAGTCGGTGTTGACGTCATGAAGGTTTTATTTTAAAGAAGAGAACTACATGGAATAAAACGAAATCTAATTATATTAATTTATAATTGATTAACTGTGTCATTTAGTTACCTACTAATTAAATTTGCAAACTTTAAAAAACCGTATTTAACTACTATTGTATTGCTGACATCTACTTAATATTCAAAATTTGATTTGTTTATATGTAGGATTATGCGATTTTAACCCTCCGTTCATCGGGTGGCCATTCTAAAATACTTTCGGTCGCGTGTGGTGTATGGACCAAAATAAAATACCGCCTCCCGAGCAACAGCATACATTTTATTGCTAATTTCGCATCAACAAACTCTTTACTATATAATGTTTATTACAGAACCAATTCCAAATTTTTTTTTAAGTTGTATTAGGTAAATTTTAAAAATGTTTTATATAAAAATTCAATTTCTGGTACTCCAAACGGAGTAAAGAAATAAAACATAATGACGGTACTAGATTTTACTCAGAACGGTATAGCCACTACTCTTAATCGAAACAAAATTTATTTCCACCGTAGATAATAGTTATCAAAATAACTATATACGGACGTACCTATGCCATCTAATAACAAAGAGAGAAATCAAACGATTTCTACCTAGCGAAATCGAATTCAAATTTTCACCACTGTGCTTTCTAAAACTTGCAAAGCTGTTTGCTACTATATTTCGTAGCTGTTGCATCGATAGGTTGCCCCATTACAATATCGGCTTTTAGCTCCTCGATTAGCTTTCTGCTCTGAGCACTATGCATCTGGCTTATATGTCGCTGACTATGGATTAATCTGTGCTTCACTAATCTGGTTTCGCCCTGTATAAAGATATGAAGTGGTGGTAGATTCAGCAGGACTTTCAATGATGCAATAGTTGTTTTTATAACCCCCGTAATACATAGTTATCCTAGCCTTTGTGTATTAGCTATCAGCCTTATTGCTCCCGCTTGCTGCGTCTTTGTCCACCAAGTCACCGAGATATAGGTTATCATGGGTCTAATATCTCTTGTGTATACCCATAGAGTGATTTTGGGGTTAAGTCCCCAATTTTTACCGCACATTCTTCTACATCTGCCCAGGAACATAGTAGCTTTCTGTGTGGTTTTCGGAATGTGAGTGTTCCATGTAAGCCTATGATCAAACTATACCCCAACGTATTTTGTTTCTTTGGCAAATAAAATCTCTGTTCATCCTAGCACCGGTGGTTTTAGGCCTTAAAGTGCTGTTTTTTTTGGTGAAGTTTACGATTTGTGTTTTCTGAGAATTGACTATCAGTCTTTCTTGTATACACCAGTCATCAACTATATTAAGGGCTGCTTGCATTCTCTCAGACACCACCTGAGCAAACCTGCCCCTGACAACGATTGCTATATCGTCAGCATATCCTAGACAATAAAAGCATTCTATGGACAGATTTCTGAGGAGATGATCTACCAAAGTTGGCCAAAGTAGAAGGGAAAGAACTCCTCCTTGTAGACAGCCTCCACCTACTTTTGCTTCGAGGGTTGCTTTATTCAGAGTGGACGTTACTGTCCTATTCTAAAGGGATGCACTTATCCATCTGCGTATTACCGCAGGTGCGCCTCTTCTACTCATAACTCCTATCAAAGAGTTGGTAGTAACATTATTGAATGACCTTTCTATATCTTAAAAGCGGCCATTGCTGTCTTTGTGTCTTCCATTGACTTTGACTTTGTGATCCCTGGTCTGCTAAATATTCTTCCATTGTTTCTTGTCGAGTGTCTGTATTCTCCATTCCCATACTTCAATCTTCCTTAAATCGTTCTGTATTATAATAAGAATACAAAAATCAAAAAGGACCTTTTTAAATCACCACACAGCGGTATAGTAAAACGTGGTATCAATTGTGCATTTGATCAATACTTACTGAATAGGTAATGCTTATATAGATACTTTAAGAGGTTCTGTAACTGTTTTATTGTAGCATTATTGTATAGGATTAAACTAAAATTTATAGTAATGAGAAATAAATGTTACATATCTTTTGATTTTCATTTCGAAAAAGGTATTTAACTATTTTTATTTAAATTCTTTCATGGATTTCACTGAAAACATATTTAAAATTTTAATTAACCTTTCTAAAATTTATAATCTCTCATTGGTTTTACTAGAAGATTTATCAATTTTACGGGACGTTTTTCTGATTAATTTTCATGAGTACCAGTCTACTGACTGGAATTTGAAGGCCTTTTGGCCGCGGTAGTCTCCACTCCCAGTTAGATCGTTCTTGATCATTTTAAAACCACTAGAAACTTAAACTTAAAAACATAACAGTCATTAAGCTGTTTGTGCAACTGCTTCACGATAATATATTTTAGCAGTAGTAAATTTTAAGTATGTAATAAATAGTATGTACCGAAAATCTGATATATTTTCTTAAAAAAAGATAAGGTTTTTTTAACTTAACTAAAGTGCTAACCTTCTAAGTTCAAGAACCTTACTCCTTTATCTGGGCTTAGAACCGACAACAAGAGCATTGAGGTAGTAAATCTACTCAATAATCTGGTAGGCGGAGTTAAAAAACCTTGACTTACCGAGATTTAAAACTACTAAGCTAAAATTAATATTTTCAGCAAACAATAAAATAATTACATTTTCACAAAATTACCTGAAAAGTCACCAAAGTATTTATCAACAAAAAAAGACAAATATTACAATTATTTATTAACACGCAACTTTATTAACATTATAAAGAAATGTTCTACGACATAACACTAAGTGAAATTAAAGGTCTCTATAAAAAACGAAGGACAACAGTTTTGAAATTGTTAACTCATTGGTAAATTAACTTCCATATATTGCATTCAACTTAACCACGCGTTTAAAACACAACGAATGACACCACAAAGGATATGTCAAAGAGACATGAAAAAGTAAAACTGAGAAATTACAAAAAAAAAACAAAATTCATGTACTTAGAAGACTCCATAATTTTTTGAAATTGCTATAATGTTGAGAAGATTTTATTTTTTCGGAAATGAAAGACGCTACACTAAGAGCTGAGATAACTGATATTTCAGAAGAAAGATTCAGTGTTATCTACACTAGTCTTAGGTTTCTACCGAAATATTTAGGCGTCGAATATAACTGTGGAACAAGCACCAGGGACTGGGGTTATCACTAATGCTAATAATAAGCTTTCCAAAAAAATTGAAACCCTAAAAATCAACTAGGAAACTAAGTTCCTGTAGCTGGTTGTATACCATATATCACAAAAAATTTATTTCAAATCCTTTATAAAAGGTATATAATAAAATGCCCAAACCGGCTATCACAAATATATTAGAAAACGTTTTCGGATTGTTAAATCCATCATCAGTGAAAACCTGAAAGTAAATAACCACTTTAATTAAAAAGAACGTTGAATTTAAAATGTTGACTAAGGTTAAAGAAAATTGTGATTAATACTTACGAGGTATACATGCTATGAGCCACCAAAATATATGGGTCAAAACCCTTTAAATGATATAAATTTTCAGTTGTTTTACATTATATGTGGTTACAAATTATGATGTTTAAGTTACCGTTGGGAATTGGTAACATGGCGACGTATGACCCTACATAGGTAAAATGGTCCTGAGACGAAGTGTCTTCGAGGACCATTTGATAACAACTGATCAAAATGACATTGTTGACATGTTAGAACAGATGTTGTGTCAGAGCAGTCAGTGTAACTTACGGTAGTTGTCTAAAAATGACAGATGTCAGCATTATTTAAAATTGAAAAAATTAAAATTTTAATAATGTAACAGTATCAACCATCAATGTTGTAGTCTGTAATGTGAATGAATCATATGGCTATATTGGAAACATTGAAAAAATTGGTTTTTTAAAAATTAATGTGGGTAAACTGGAGTTTATGAAATTTTGTAGGATCAATAGGCAACCAACTATACATGTGTATGGATTTATTTGTTCTAAGCTAAAAATTTTATCAAAAGGCCCTGTATGTTGTGTAACATTTGGTACCTAGAAAATGATAAAAAAAGGCACATGTAGGAAGATGGGTCCAATAAGATTTATTAATGAGGAATGTTGTAGTAAAAAGTGTGTTTAGATCTGTTGTTGAGCTGAAATTTAAATATGACAAGAATGTGATTGTGGTGTGATGTTCATGTAGTACTTAACTTAAAACTTAAGCAAGGAGGGCCCTCTATGTCAAAAAACAACATTTGGCACCTGGTAAAAATAAAAGATTTTTCAAGTTATAAGTACATGAACATGAATTGCTGGTTATGTATGAAAATTAAAGAAGGTAGATTGTTTTTGTCTGTGGACACGTATGCCAGAACAACAGAAAACTGATGGCTGAAAGATGGTTTGGTATGGTATTGTTCATACATTGCTCAAATTAAAACTAAAGAAAAACAAAAAGGCCCTATATGTTAAAAGGAACATTTGGTGCCTGAGAAATATAAAAAATAAAAAAGGATGAGTTATAAATTTGAGTTTAGCTAGGTATGTGAGTTTAAAAGGCTTTTGGGATGTATTGTGAGAATATGTGGAACTGTAAGAGTAGTTATGTTTAAGTTGGATCTGTCAAATTTACTAAAGATGTGTGATGTTTAATTGTTATTGTGAAGAGAAAAGTGGAAAAACTACAAGAGGCTGAAGACCCCAGAGACCCGAAAACCAAACCCTGAGGGAGAGTGGATGGGTAAAAAGAGTTATAATAGAAAAGAAAAATGCAGTAAGAAAAGGTGAAGATATGTGGTTGAGTAAGTGAAGGTGTATGTTAATGAAAAATTGTGAGAGGGAGTGGAATAATCTGCTCTGAATTTATTTTGTTGAAAAGAAACATGGAGAATGTTGTGTGCCTAGACGGAAGTGGGGAGAGAAGGGGAGTTGGATATATTAAACAAAGTTAGAGAGGGCTAAGAACGATTAGTGGGTGATAAGAGGAGTACCAAAA